TAAAATTTTTCTTTCAATCTCTTACAGATTCTTCCGGCTTGGAAACGTACGAAAAGAAACACAAAAAACAAAAGCGTCACGAAGACGAAAAAGAGCGGAAAAAACGCAAAAAGGAAAAGAAACGTAAAAAGAAATCTCACAGTCCCGAACCGCCCTCATCGGGTGGCGTCTCACCCATGTTGGGTCCTACGGGTACCAATACTATGTTAGGCCCTGGCGGTATGCCCATGCAACAGGGTATTGTGGGGGGTGTGGCCGGCGGCGGTGGTGGCAGCGGCGGGCCAGGGGGTATGATGGGCGGTAATGTAGGCGGCGGCGCTGGTAGTTTACAGGGCCTATCTGTGGGGGGTGCCAATAATCCACTGGGGTCTGGGCCTGGGGTAACAACAATGTCAGGCCCTGGTGGCATGATGATGCCACAACAAGCTTCTTTATTTTAGTTAAAATTTAACAAAAAACACACACATACATATATTTACTAAAAAGTTTTAAGTCATTTTTTATTAGATTTTTTTTTGCTATCTTTTGTTTTTAGTTTAAAATTGTGTTACTCTCACCTCCTCATGTTTTCCTAATTACCCAGCTTATTTTACCACTTAATTCTTAGTCCAACTGATTAGTCCGCTCAAACAAACAAAATATTGAATTAAAACAAAGATAAACTAAAATTTTCTTTAGCAGAAAATGAGTAAAATTGTATCAAAATTTAAATATTTTATTAGAATTTTAAAAATTATTATAGAGATTTTTAAAATTACTGCTCATTTTCTTTTTAAAGAAAATGTTGTTTATTTTTTTCTGTTGAAATTTAGTAATAGTTTTGTTCCCCCTCCTTCCCACACTTTTTAAGTTTCCATTTTTTTTATTTTTTATATAAACTAAGCTTATTCAATTAAAAACGAGCTTCCAATTTAAGTTTTCTTTTTCTTAATAGTTATTTATCTTCTGTTTTCAAATTTGATTTCCCTTTTTGTTTGTTTCCTTTTTTACGAAAAAAACTACCTCCCTGCTGTTTATTTTTTCTTTAAATTCTTTTTTAGATTTTTTTTAATTAAACAAAATTTGTAATAATTTCTAAAATTTAGTTATTTAATTTAACACACACACTTTTTTATGAAAAAAATCTATATATTATAAAGAAAGAAAAATAAATATATTATTTAGTTATTTAAGAAGTTGTACGCAAAACAAAACCAACAAAACAAACAAATGAAAAATATTATAATACAATGAAAAACCATAAATGATAAGAAAACTTTAACAAAATATTTAAAAGAAACTAAGTAAAAAAAAAAATAAAAATAAATTTATAAAAAAAAACAAAAGCAGTGTTTATTTTATTAAATTAAATTTTCCGATTCCATAATATAACCAAAATGGATGAAATGAAATTTCCTAAAGATAGATATTTTCTATAGAAATGAAGTTTATAACAAACGGATACCAAATTCTGCAAAGAAATTAATAATTCACCACAAAATATATAGACCAAATTTTCTAAAGAAATATTGCCTCATTTAGTTGCGGTCAGATAAAAACAAAATTTCCTTAAAGAAATTGGATCTTGAGTTAAGATGGAAATAATGTTTGCAGAAATTGAGTCTCCGCCAGAAGAAGACAACATTTCTTATAGACGAATATAAAAGTAAGTAAAGAAATTGGGTTTTATGAGGACTAAAGACAAAATTTCCTAAAGAAAGTAAGTCTCAGAGGGGCTCTCCGCCATTAGATGACAAAAATTATCTAAAAATATTGATTCACCTCCAGATAGAGACAAAGTTTCTCAAAGAAGTTGCGTATTTACAAAAAGGACACAAAATTTTCTCAAAGAATTTGTGTCTCAGGAAGATGAAGACAAAAATTCCCTAAAAAAAGGTTCCCCAGGCGAATGGAGATAATATTTTCTAAAGAAATTAAGAAATCGAGTCTCCGCCGGCTGTAGACAAGAATTTACTAAAGAAATTGTGTCTCTGCTGGGTGAAGACATTTTATAAAGAAATTGCATATCAGACTGCTGGATAAAGAAATTTTCTATAGGAATTCTATAAAATTAACTATTGCACTTAAATTTATATAGTTTCAATTTACTTGTTTAGTTTTTTTAAATAAATTAGTGAAATTTATACTTACTTTACATTTGAGCAGTCAAAATTTTGAGAATGTTTCGATATATAGTAATTGTTTACAAAAATTACTAGCATTTTATGTTTATAATACTTTGTTATATATTCTTTGGTTTGTTATCTTCAATTTAGTTTATTTTATTAATAAAAATGTGATTTAAAAGTAAATTTTCTTCAAAAATTCTAAAAAATAACTATTTTTATTTGTAAACATTGCAAAGTTTGAAAGCCACTGATCAATTTCGTTTATTTACCTTTTTAAACACTCTCTTTAATTATGTACACAGCAATAAGCTCTTAAATTTATTCTGCAAAAATTCTTAGCTCTCTTTCATATACTTTTTATTTTTTGACATTTTTCCTTTCAGTAGTTTTTTTCAAGTGCTTTTATCAAGTTGTGTTCTTGTTGTTAGTGTGGTGGAGCTGGCTAAAAATCGCAAATTCTATTGCCCCCCATAAAATATTTTTTTAAAACAAATTCATTCAATAAACTAAAACACTAATTACTTATTACCTTGCAATTGTTTTATTAAATAAAAAAGAAAATATTTAATAATAGAGAAAATTAGCAAAGTTTTAGCTGAATAATTAATGTTAAACAAATTTCGACCCCTTAGCAGCATGTTTAAGCAGACGTCTACAAATTTATTGGAACAAAAAGCCGACAAGGTGACCCAATGGTTGGATTCCTTTGATGCCGTTCTTACAGATTGTGATGGTAATAATAAAAATTCATTAATTATAATTAATTATAGGTACCTATGCGATAAATATTCTGTTGTAATGTATTAAATTGCATAATTTCATTTATTAAATTTGGGGTTTTTTTCTTAATGTGTGGTTCGATTTTGGTTTAAAAATCTACACAATTTCTTTGCAATGTCAATAATTGGGTTTGTGTGTTTAAAATTGTCTGTTGTTGCTGGTTTCCTATACATTGTTAATGACCTTAATGAACGTCATTAGTGACGGGGATGTAAGCTACAGTCCGTCAAGTGAAAGTAATGAAAGATTTGTAACAAATTTCTGAGGCAAAAATTTCCATATTAAATTTGCCCACAGCCAGCAGAGGAGAATATTGAATCTAGCTAATCTTATTTTTCGTTTACTTTTCAGGCGTTCTTTGGGTTTATGGCAGTGTTATTGATGGTTCTGTGGAGGTTATGAATCGCTTTAAAGAATTGGGCAAAAAAATCTTCTTTTGCACCAACAATTCTACCAAGACACGCAGAGAATTACTGGTGAAGGCCGTAGATATGGGTTTTAATATCACAGAAGAAGAAATTATCTCCACAGCACACTCGGGGGCTGCCTATTTAAAGGGTCTTAACTTTGACAAAAAAGTATTTGTCATAGGTTCAGAGGGTATAACAAAAGAACTCGATGCTGTTGGTATAGAACACAATAAGGTGGGTGCTGAACCCATGCCTGGCTCTTTGGCGGAGTACATTTCAAAACATTTGAAATTAGATGAAAATGTGGGTGCTGTGATGGTGGGTTTTGATGAGCATTTCAGTTTTCCTAAAATGACACAAGCTGCCTCATATTTAAATGATCCAGAGTGTTTGTTTATCGCCACAAACACAGATGAACGTTTTCCCATGCCTAATATGGTGATACCGGGAACGGGAAGTTTTGTTAGGGCCATTGAGACATGTGCGGAACGAAAGGCTTTGGTTATAGGTAAACCCAATAAAGAGATATGCGAACATCTTATCAAAGATGGCACCATTAAGCCCGAAAGAACTTTAATGATAGGTGACAGGTGAGTGTTTTAGTTTCCACAATTGTCAAACAAAAAACATAATTAAACGTTTTCCTAGATGCAATACTGATATCCTATTGGGCTATAATTGTGGCTTCCAAACTTTGCTGGTGGGTACGGGCATACATCAACTAAACGATGTGGATACCTGGAAAAAGTCCAATGATCCCGAATTGCTTAAACTTATACCAGATGTGTATTTACCTAAACTGGGCGATTTACTGCCTCATATGTGAATTTTATTTACTTCTTAACTTAATTTTAAGACTTGTCACTATCTATCGTAACATTTATCTAATTCTTTTTTTATAAACAATACATTTAAAACACAAATAACTTTTTCATACATAACGCTCCCCATAACCATAATCTAGCCAAAATGATGCTTTTTGTTAATGTATAATTTTATGTTGTTAGAACAAAAAATCGGAAATGATAAAATAAATTATAGATTTGTAAAGATTTTTACAATATCGATAACAAATGTGTTAAACTCTGTGTGTGAGGAAAGTAGGGTGTTAATTCTTGTTTAAAAATACTGAGTCAGCTGTTGACATAAAGCTTTTTTTCTGCACAATTCTCTTGTTAGAAAAAAGAGAATTTTAGATACAGAAAAAATATGTGTAAAAAGAAAAGAGAGTAAATATTGAAAACATGTGTTTATTTTAGAGTTGCCAAAGCTTTGTTTAAATTCTTTAAAAAATTTTGTCTTTTCGTCTTCAACCAGCTAAAACTCCTATTTCTTTAGACAATTTTCTTTTCAAAGGTCTTATGACTTGATTATTTACAGAATTTGTCTAAAATCTAGTCCCAGAATGAATTTGTAAAGAATTTAAGTTTTGTGCTTCGTTATTTCTTTAGCCTTGGTAACTCATTTTATTCTTTTTATCAACAGAGAGCATATTTCCTGTAATGTTTGATGACCACTGCTTGTTTTTATAAACATTTCTTATGGTTTGAGAAGTACTGCTTGTTTTTTTGTAAACAAGTTATTTCAGTTGTCAGTTATTTTTATTAAATAAAATTAAAATTAAAGTTAAAAAATGTTAAAATATTAATGTTTTCTTTGAAGAAAACAATACTCTTTTGGAAAGTATTAAAAAATCCTATAAAACGTTGTCGAAGCACAAATTCAAACCCAGTTTTATTTACTTAAGATGGCTGGACAAGGTTTGAAGGCATTATAATCGATTCAGATGGCAAGTTTTTTAAATCTTTAATAACAAAAGGTTGTATAAAACCCGCCTGCACATTAATGCTAGGCAACAGGTGAAAAATTTTGTAACAAAATATGAAAATTTCTAAACCCTTTTTTTAATTTATAGTTTCCACGGACTTGTTGTTTGGTTACAATTGTGATACCAGATTTTCATCTACAAAAACTCGAGAGATTTAAACCATTTTAACTGAGTACTTTTATAATTTATAGAAAAAGAGAAAGATACCCAAATATTAAAAACTTTTTGATAAGAATTATGCTTGTTTAAATAAATATTCTCCACATTGTTTAATAACAACATAAATGTGTAATTGTTTTGTAGTTTGAGAGTAAAGATCAAGAACGGACGGGAAAAAGTTATGCTGAAGAGTATTGTATAATTAGAATTTATTTAACACATTAGAAATCCATCCATTCAAATCATATTATTGATTTAAATATGTATGTATGTTTTTAATTTTTCTAACAAATTTGTTTAGTTAATAACATGATTCAACCAAAAAATTTAAAAGATCTGGACAAAAAGACCTTTAAAGAGTGGTTGGATTCCTACGATACTATTTTAACAGATTGTGATGGTAAGTTGAAAGAGATAACAAACTATTTTAAACAATTTCTTTTGGAAATTTTGTCTTTGCATTGAGGGCACACAATACTGAAGATAAAGTTTGCTGAAGAAATTCATCTCCTCCGGCTGAAGATTAGATTATCTTTAGATTTTTTGTAATGAAACTTACTTTTTGTTTACTTACCAGGCGTTCTTTGGGTTTATGGCAGTGTCATCGATGGCTCTGTGGAGGCTATAAACAGCTTAAAAGAACTGGGCAAGAAATTTTTCTTTTGCACCAACAATTGCACCAAAACACGCAAGGAACTACTGGTGAAAGCCGTCGATATGGGTTTTAATATCACAGAGGAAGAAATCATCTCAACAGCACATTCAGGTGCGGCCTATTTAAAGGGTCTTAACTTTGATAAAAAAGTATTCGTCATAGGTACAGAGGGTATAACAAAAGAACTCGATGCTGTGGGTATAGAACATAATAAGGTGGGTGCTGAATGCATGCCCGGTTCATTGGAGGAATATATTTCTAAACATTTGAAATTGGATGAAAAAGTGGGTGCTGTAATGGTGGGATTTGATGAACATATTAGTTTTCCAAAACTGACACAAGCAGTCACATATTTAAATGATCCGGATTGCTTGTTTATCGCCACAAATACAGATGAAAGTTTTCCCATGCCTCATATGGTGGTACCGGGAACGGGAAGTTTTGTTAGAGCCATTGAAACATGTGTGGAGCGAAATGCTTTAGTTATAGGTAAACCCAATAAAGAGATATGTGAACATCTTATCAAAGATGGCACCATTAAGCCGGAAAGAACTTTAATGATAGGTGACAGGTAAGTGTTTTAGTTTTCACAACTGCCGAACAATAAATTATTTATCTACATATCATTTTTCTAGATGCGATACTGACATTCTATTGGGCTATAATTGTGGCTTCCAAACTTTGCTGGTGGGTACGGGCATACATCAACTAAACGATGTGCAAGCCTGGAAAAACTCCAATGATCCCGAATTGCTTAAACTTATACCAGATATGTACTTACCTAAACTGGGCGATTTACTGCCTCATATGTGAATTCAGTTTTCTTTTGAACTTAATTTTAAGACTTGTTATCAACTGTTGTGACATTTATCTAATTTTTTATAAACTTCCATTAAAAAAACAATTACAAAGATTTTTACAATTTCGAAAACAAATTTGTCAAGTTCGGCGTGTGAGTAAAGTAGAGTGTTAGTTCTTGTTTAAAATTACTGAACAAGCTGTTGACATAAAGCTTTTTTCTGCACATTTCTCTTGTATTAAAAAAAGAGAATTTTAATTACAGAAAAAAATTGTTTAAAAATTAAAGAGACTTAAAATTAAAATATGTTTGTTTTAGAGTTGCCAAGGTTTTGTTTAAGGAAATCTAGCCATATATTTCTTCAGGAAATTTAGTCTCCAACAGATGGAGTCTGAAATTCTTAAGGAAATTGTGTCTTTGTTCTTTTCTTTAGGAAATTTTGTCACCGTCTTAAGGAGGCGTGACTTCTTAATTATTGTCAGTTTGATTATGATTTGATTATTAAGAGAATTTATACTATATTATTCTTTAGTCTTGGCAAATCTTTTCATGCTTTTCATAAATAGAGCAAGTTTTTTTTCTATTTTCCTTAATGGTTTGAGAAGCACTGCTTGCTTTTGTAAACACTACTCTCCTTTATGGTTTGAGAAGTACAGCTTGCTGTTGTAAACAAGTTAATTTTTGAAGTTTCAATTAGTAACTAAATTGTCAGTTATTTTATTAATATAAATTAGAAATTAAAAAGGAAAGATATAAAAAATAAATGTTTTCTTTAAAGAAAACAAGACACTTTTGGCAAATATTTACAAATTCTGCAAAACGTTGTTGTAGCATAAAGTGTTATCAAAAATTCAAGCATAGTTTTACAGACTTAAGATGTCTGGACAGAAAAGAAGTGCAGCAGTTCTTTAAAAGCTTGGAAGCAATAATAACAGATGCAGATGGCAAGTTTTTTTTGATAAATTAAATAGATTTATAATGATTTTATATAACTGCAGGTGTTCTATGGCTTAATGATGATCCTATCGAAGGTTCTGTAGAAACTTTTAATTGGTTTCAAAATCAAGATAAGACTTGTTATATTGTTACCAATAATTCTACCCGTACTCGGCAAAATTTGCAGGAAAAAGCTTGTTCCATGGGTTTACAGGTGGAAGAAAGGCAAATTATTAATACCACTTACTGTACGGCCAAATATTTGGAGAAATTGAATTTCAACAAGAAAGCCTATGTTATAGGCAGAGAGGGTCTGGCTTGGGAATTACAAAATTTGGGCATTAAACTTTTGCCCATAGAGGAGGAACCCATGAAAGGCTCTACAGCTGATTTGAGACAAAATCTTAAACTTGACCAGGAAGTAAAGGCTGTAATAGTGGGTTTTGATGAATTTTTTGGTTTTCCCAAGCTAACAAAAGCCTGTTGCTATCTAAAGGATCCTGAGTGTTTATTTATAGCCGCCAGTACAGATAACCAAGGACCTACTCCTACGATAATGCTGCCGGGTACGGGTTGCTTTGTAAAAGCCATAGAAACTTGTAGCAATCGTTTAGCCACAATAATAGGAAAACCTAATCCGGAATTTGTCAAACCTTTAATAACAAAAGGTTGTATAAAACCCGCCACCACATTAATGGTAGGCGATAGGTAAGAAATTTTATAAAAAAATATGAAAATCTAAATAATTTGCTAAAACTTAAACCAAATTTAGAGGTTCAACGGACATGTTGTTTGGTTATAATTGTGGCTTCTATACACTATTTGTTTCCCTCCGGGGTAGATACTTTAAAAGACGTCCAACAATGGCAAATATCAGATAATTGTGAATTGCAAAAACAAATACCCGATTTTTATCTACCAAAACTGGGAGATTTAAAACATATATTAACTGAGTAATTTTATAATTTTATAGAATAAAGAGAATTCCATAATATTATTAAACTCTTTATTGATAAGAATCATGATTGTTTAAATAAATATTCTCCACACATTGTTTAATAACAAAATACTTTAACTTTTTATAGTTTGAGAGTTAAGGTCAAGAGAATTGGACGTAAAAAAGCTACGCTGAGGTATAGAGGTTTTGTATAATTAGATTTTAGTGAAAAACTTTTAGAAATTTACTTATAATTTTAAGAAATGTTTAAATTTTTTAATAGATTTTTAGTTAAAAACATGATTCAACCAAAAAATTTAAAAAATCTGGACAAAATGGCCTTTAAAGAATGGTTGGATTCCTTTGATACTATTTTAACAGATTGTGATGGTAAGTTGAAAGAGATTACACAAAATTTTAAACAATTTCTATACGTATTATTGTTTTTGTCATGAGAAGAGACCATTTATTCAGCCGGCTGAGAACAAATGTTCTGAGACTCAATTTCTTTAGTAAATTTTGTCTTCCGTTTGGCGGAGAGTTAAGTTCCTTCAGGAACTTTTCATTTCATCAGAAATTTTGTTCTCTATCTGGTGGATATTCAATTTCTTTAATAAATTTAGGCTCCATCTGGCGAGACTCAATTTCTTTAGGAAATTTTATCTTCCGTCTGGCGGAAACTTAAATTCTTTAGGAAATTTGTTCTCAGCCTCGGAGACTTGATTTCTTTAGTCTGGCGGATCTCTTTAGTATTGGCCATTTGATCAAAACTCAATTTCTTCAGAATCATAGAACTTTTAAAGAACAATTAACCATAAAAGTTACCTATTCCAGCTGTTCTCTGGCATGATGACACTGTGATCCCCCAAGTACCCGCTACCATTAATACTCTACGAGCTCTAGGTAAAAATGTCTACTTCGTAACCAATAATGGCACCAAAACCCGTCATGAACTATGGCATAAAGCCTCTCAAATGAATTACCAAATAGATGAGCAGCACATTATAGCACCCACCTATTCCATAGCAGAATATCTAAAACAAAATTTACCCTCTAACGAAAGGGTCTACGTGATAGGTAGCCCCGCTTTAGCAGAAGAATTAAACAAGTTAAATATTAGCAACTTTGGCATGGGTGAGGATGTAGTGCAAGGCATTTGGGTTGATATGCTGGAGCAGATTAAACGAGAAACTGCTGAAGAAAAAGTGGGTGCTGTAGTGGTAGGTTTTGATGAACATTTTAGTTTTCCCAAAATGTTAAAAGCCTCCAATATATTGGGCTCTAATCCCGACTGCCTGTTTTTGGCCACAAATGCTGATGCTGTTCATAGATATCCTAAGTTTTGTATGCCTGGTACAGGGGCTTTGGTGGTGGCACTACAAACTTGCACCGGTCGAGAGGCCAAGATGATGGGCAAACCTAATCCTGTTATATGTGAAAATTTGATTAGAACGGGTAGTTTGCAGCCTAAGAGAACATTGATGATAGGTGATAGGTAAGGGAGGAAATATTTGGAATTTGAAATTTGATTACTTTTCATATTTATCTTCTTAGCGCTAAAATTGATGTTTTATTTGGCAAGAATTGTGGCTTCCAAACGCTTTTAGTGGGCACTGGTAATGATAAGTGGCCTCAGGTGATGGAATTGGTTCAAAATAAACAAACGGATTTTATACCAAATTATTATTTGGAATCTTTGGGTGATTTATTGGAAGTTTTACAATAGTTTTAAAGCTTTTATTTAATTAAAAAGAAAACATTTTGTTTTAAACATTTGAAATAAAAGCTTTATAGCAAATAAAAACTTTTACATTTACAACTTAATTTTAACTTAAAATTACTTTTAATTGTCGTTTGAATGTTTTTCGTTTTAAAACTTAGAAAGCTTTTAATTTAAAATGAAAGCTTCTCCTTTTAAACTTTCTAATAACACTTTTACATAACTTTAGAACATTTTTGCCTACAAATTAAAGTTTTTACTTAAATAACATAAGATTAATTTAAAGCTCTTTTAATATATAGTTTGTAATTTGTTACTTTGACTGCAAGAGCTTTTTTTATTGTGTTGATTTCTAGAGCTTTTGACTTCATTATTATTGTTTTAGAATCAAGAGCTTTTGCTTTAGTGAAAGCTTTAAGTTTATAGCTTTGATTTCAAAAGCTTTTGACTTCATTAAAGCTTTAAGTTAATTGATTTTATATCATGAGCTTTTTGCTTTTACTAAAGCATTAAGTTTATTGCTTTAATTTTAAGCAACAGCTTGAACTACACAATTTTTAAACCTAGCTTTTGTTTTCTGTTAAGCTTTAAGTTTATTGCTTAAATAGCAAGAGCTTTTGTGAAAGCTTTTGATTATTGCTTTGATTTCAATAATTTTTAACTTTATGGTCTAAAATTATGGTTTAACATTAACTTTATTTAAAAATTAACATTTACTTGCCTTAATTTTTGCAAAAGCTTTTTATAGAGCTTTTTCCCTTAACTTAAATTTAAAATATGTTTGTTAAAAATTAACTATGATAGAGTTTACTAAGTTTTTCTTTAAAAAGCTTTAAGCTAACTTAAGCTTTCATTAGAGCTTTTATTAATTCAACATAAATTCAAAGAATATTTGTTTTAACTGATTATTTTAACATAATTTACCTATATTGCAAACTAAAGCTTTCCCCATATACCTTATGGCAATTTTATAAACAAAAGCTTTTAAGCTTCTGGTAAGGAATTTTCTTAATTTCAAACCTAAAGATTTTGGTAATGTTTATAACATATTTCAAAACTTACATTTAACATATTTTTATTATAATAGAATAGAATTTAATGTTTGAAAAGCTTTTTTGTAAAGCTTTATTAATTGAAATAATAAATTAACTAATTTTAAATTTTGCAAAAGCTTTAACTTAAATAATAGTTTTTTAACTAAATTATAGCTTAATGAGTTTATTATCTTTTAAAATATTTAAAGCTTTTTCCGAAAGCTTTTTTTTAACTTAAATTTGAACTGTTGATGATTGTGTGTTTGTAGTTGTATTTCGGTAAATTAGCAATTTAGTTTAAAGAAATCATATTTCATAGCAGTAAAGATTAAAGCAGTAGCAGCATAAAGTAAATAAGTTGAACAACTTTGATCCCATAATCCATTGACCCGATTTTTCCTCTCAAAACCCCATCTGCCTTAATTGTAAATTTGCCAAGATTTCTTTAATTTAAACACCTAAATTGCTAAAAGATAACATCAGGTGGTCGTATTACTGTGGGCCAAAATGCGTGAACTGCGCGATAGATAACCATACCAATAGAAAACATTAATGACAATGAATAAAATGGGAAAGACAATACGCGAGGCGCGATCTATTTTTGAGACCGAATTATATTGGGGTGTGCGTTTGCCCTTGCGGCGAGCTTCTAGTTCTTCACGGCGATAATAGGACATGCGACGACGTCCCGAAAGTTTGCGGGGTGTAGAATCTGTAAAAGGAAAATGTTTACTTTATTTTTAAGTTTAAAGCTTTTTTAAGCTTCTCTAACCTTCATTTGATCTCAAGTGCTGTTCCTCATCATCTTCATCCTCGGAAATATCAAATCGAGCTTTATGCCTCCTCCCTTGGCTACTCTTCCAACAGGGCCAATTTAAACATTCAGCCAGATTACGCCAAAAACCCCATTTTCCCTTGAACTTACGCTCCTCCGAACGTCTACGTTTTCTTCTCGACGATTCCCGACGTTGCGGTATATTGATGGAACACATGGACAAGGGAATAACCTCATAGATTTTCGATTCTGTACTAGTGGCAAATTCCGATTCCATATCACTTCTATTACCCGTTTGACTTTCCAACATTTCCGATTCTGTATCCGATTCCATTTCTTCGATGATAAAGTAGCATTCGCCCGATCCATATTTGGTGAAATAGTGAACCACAGCGAATTGTAAAATGGTGGCGAAGATGAAGGCAAAAGAGAGGAAAACAAAAAAGTCCAAAGCTGTAGGATAGGGCACCTTGGGTAGATCGGTGCGGGCCTCCAGACCCAAGAAAGTCATGGTCAAAACGGTGGTTATGCCCAGAGAAACACGATCAGCGGTAGCCTCACGATTCAACCAGAAAGAGACCCATGATAAGACCACTAGAAGACAGCAAGGACCATAGACTTGTATCAAAAAGTTGCCCATGTGACGTTGTAAATGGAAGTTCACCATCAACATGGAGTATTCGGCTAAAAAGTGAAAAGTGGATTTTGAAAGATTTTTTGTAAATTGGGGAAAACGGCAAAAGGTAAAATTTATGCCGGGAAAACACAAAAATTTAATATTTTAACTAAAAAAACGTAAAATTCGTAATAGAAAACTTTTTTAGTGAATTTTTAAAAAGTGGGGATTTTTGAAATTGTTTTGGGAATTTAGAAATTTTGCCGGGGAAACTTAAAAATTTGTGAATATGAAATATTTTTAATGAAGAAAGCTTGTTTTTGATTTAAGAAAGAATTTTTAATGAATTTTTGAAAGTGGGAATTTTTGAAATATTTTTTGGGAATTTAAAATTTTAGCCGGGGAAGTGAAAATAACAAATCTATTATGATTTCTAGTGTTTTTTTTAGAAATGTTTGGTTTTTTATAGCAAATTTAAGATTTAAATTTTAAAAATTTGTTGGGGGATTTTGGAAATTTCTTTGGGAATTTAAAATTTTTTTCTGGGGAAATACAAATATTAAATATTTGAACTGAAAAAACTTATAATATGTAATAGAAAAACTTTTTAGTGAATTTTTTAAAGGTGGGAATTTTTAAAATTTATTTGGGAATTTAAAATTTTTATCGGGGAAATTCAAACATTTGTGAAACTGAAATATTTTTAATAGGGAAAACTTATTTTTGATTTAAGAAAGAATTTTTAATATTTTTTTTAAAGTGGGAATTTTTAAAATATTTTTGGGAATTTAAAATTTTAGCCGGGGAAGTGCAAATAACAAACCTATTATGATCTCTAGTGATTTTTTTTAGAAATGTTTGGCATTTTAAAGTAAAATTAAGTTTTAAATTTTAAAAATTTTTATGGGGGATTTGGAAATTTCTTTGGGAATTTAAAATTGTTTGCAGGGAAACATGAAAAATAAATATTTTAACTGATAAAACGTATAATACGTATCAGAAAACCTTTTTAGTGATTTTTTGAAAAGTGGGAATTTTTAAAATTTACTTGGGAATTTAAAATTTTTATCGGGGAAATTCAAACATTTGTGAAAGTGAAATATTTTTAATAGGGAAAACTTATTTTTGATTTAAGAAAGAATTTTTAATATTTTTTTTTAAAGTGGGAATTTTTAAAATATTTTTGGGAATTTAAAATTTAAGCCGGGGAAGTACAAATAACAAAATTTTTATGATTTTTAGATATTTTTCTTACAAATTTTTGGATTTTTGAAGCCAAATTAAGATTAAAATTTTCAAAATTTTGTGGGGGATTTGGGATTTTTTTTGGGAATTTAAAATTTTTGCCGGGGAAACACAAAAATGAAATATTTTTGCTGAGGTAGTACATAATTTACAACAAAACAAGTTTTCAAAAAGTTGGGATTTTTTAAAAATTATTTGGGAATTTAGAAATTTTGGCGGGGAAATATAAAAATTTGTGAACATGAAACATTTTTAATGAGGAAAACTTATTTGCGATTTAAAAAAGCATTTTTAATGATTTTTTAAAAAGTGGGGATTTTTAAAATTGATTTGGGAATTTAAAATATTGAACGGGGAAACTTGAAAATGTGTAAAATTGGTGTAATTTAGATCAGAAAGCTTTTAATACTATAAGAAAGCTGTTTTAATGTGTTTTAAAAAAGTGGGGATTTTTAAAATATTTTTGGGAATTTAATTTTTTTGAGGGGGAAGTTTAGAATTGCTATAAAAATGTCGATATTAAAAAAAATATTTTCAACTATTCTTTAAGTTTTCGTTATTTGTAAATAATTTGTAATATTACAAGAATCCCTTAAATTATAACTTTTAGCTTGAGTTACCTCAACTTGAGTGTAATAAGATGATGGTTTCCGTAATGTGTTCAATTTGTCTAATTAACAAAATTGATTTTAGTTTACAGCTTTATAAGTACATACACACAAAATGTATAAATCCAATTTATCATCGTTGTAACACTCAAGTTATATTTATAGATGGTACATCTTGGAAAACCACCTGCCTCCCACCAACACCCTACCATCATTGTCATTCATGGCAATACACGAGACAGTTATAAAAGGCGTGCATATGTACGTACAATTTAAATGACCTTAATTGATATGAAAAATCATAATTATTGGTAATGCAACAAAAATGGCAAAAAAATTGATTTTATTTTTCTTTTTCTCTGCTTTTTTACACAATTACCTTTTAAATTGCTATGTTAATGACACATGTAATAATGTGTGTGTAAATATTTAAAGAAAATTGTTGATTTATACAATGAAACGTTAAATAAGTTAAAAATTACGTGATTTACATGAACAGAGCATAATTTAACCCTTAAGCTGATAAAGGTGTACTTTGGTATAAGTTTAAGGATTTTAAACGGGGAAGTACAAAATTCGCAAAAATATAAGATTTCTAAAGATTATTTCATGATTTTGTTGATAATATGGGACGAAACATGAAATATTAAATCGGGGGATTTTTGCGAAATTTTTGGGAATTTAAAGTTATTGCTGGGGAAGTGAAAAAATTTAACAAATATTAATATTTTTATAGTTTAAACATATATTTTGCTAGAATTTTTAATAAAAAGTGCAAAATAAATTTTGGGGATTGTTGAAAAAATTTTGGGAATTCAAAATTATTGCCTGGGGAAACATAAAAATTATAAAGTAAATGTATTTCTAATAAAAAAATCAATAATTTAATGACATTTTCTAAGAAACGGGAAATTTTTGGGTATTTTTGACTTTTTATGGGTGAATTTAAAATTTTAATTGGGAAAGCTTATAAACGCTGGGGAAGTGAAAAAACTTAGCAAATATTAATATTTTTATAGTTTTAACTGACTTTTTGATAGAATTTTTTAATAAAAAATACAAAATAAATTTTGGGGATTTTTGAAAATTTTTTGGGAATTTAGAATTTTTGTATGGGGAAACTTAAAAATTATGAAGGAAATGTATTTCTAATAAAATTTCAATAATTTAATGAATTTTTCTGAAAAAATAAGGAATTTGGGGATATTTGACTTTTTATGGGAATTTAAAACTTTAACTGGGGAAGCTTATAAACGCTGGGGAAGTGAAAAAATTTAACAAATGTTAATATTTTTATGGTTTTAACTTATTTTTTGACAGCATTTTTAATAGAAAGTGCTAAATAAATTTTGGGGATTTTAAATACATATTTGTTTGGGAATTCAAAGTTTTTGCCTGGGAAAACTTAAAAATGATGAGGGAATCGTATTTCCAATAAAATGTCAACAATTTAATGCCATTTTCTTCAAAAGGGGAATTTGGGGATTTTTGAAAATATTTTTCGGAATGTGAAATTTTTGGGAATTCAAAATTTTTGCCTGGGGAAACATAAAAATGATTTCCAATAAAATTACAACAATTTAATGCCATTTTCTTAAAAAGGGGAATTTGGGGATTTTGTAAATTTGTTTGGGAATTCAAAATTTTATCATGGGGGAACATAAAAATGATGAAGGAAACGTATTTCTAATAAAATTATAAATTTTTCTCATATAAAAAGAGCAATTTGGGAATTTTAAATTTTTTTTTAGGAATTTTAAATTTTTGCCGGGGAAGTGTAAAAATAATGAAATCAATGGGTTACTAATAAAAATACTACTTTTGATGAAATTTTTTTTATATTCTTCCCCTTTTTTTAAATTTGTAGAATTTATAAATTTGTTTGGGAATTCGTTACATAAACTGGGGAAGTGTGAAAGGTTAAAAAAAAATTGGGAATTTGAAATTTAAGTCGGGGAAGTGAAAAATTAATTTAAATAAATATTTTTAAATGAAATTTCCCAGAAAAAAATTAAGGAAAATAAGAAAAAATTGGGGATTTTTGAAATTTTTTTGGGAATTTAAAACTTTAACCGGGGAAGTGTAAAAACAGTAAAACTATGCTATTTACAATTAAACTATTGATTTTATAACAGAATTTATGTGAAAATTTTGAAAAAATACCAAAAAAAAAACATTCTGGGGATTTAAAAGAAAAATATGGGAATTTGAAATTTAAGTCAGGGAAGAGTAAAAACAATGACGCAAATTATTTTTTAATTAAAATAAATACTTTTTAAAGAAATTTAAGTAAAAAATTAAGGAAAATCATAATTTTTCTTGGGGGGATTTTTGAATTTTTTTTTGGGAATTTAAAACTTTAGCCGGGGAAGTGTAAAAATAATAAAACCTTACTATTTGCAATTAAACTATTGATTTTATAATAAAATTATGTGGACAATTTTATGTTAATACCAAAAAACATTCGGGGGGATTTAAACGAAAAACTTGGGAATTTGAAATTTAAACTGGGGAAGTGTAAATATAACGAGGCCAATCGATTTTTAATTAAAATAACTACTTTTTAAAGAAATTTGCTAAAAAACTGAGTAAAGTCATAAAATTAGTTTGAGGGGATTTTTGCCATTTTTTTAGGAATTTAAAATTTTTTTTGGGCAATTTGAAATTTAAGCCGGGGAAGTGTAAAAACAATGACGCCAATCCTTTTCTAGTTAAAATAAAATTTTTTTTATGAAATTTTCATTATAAAATCTAGGAATAAAAATGGGGATTTTAAAAAACATTTTAGGAATTTAAAATTTTTGCAGGGGAAACACAAAATGTATGAAATAGTTTCATAAATTAAGAAAAATATTGATTGTTAAGTTTAAAAGTTGATTTTTTCATATTAACTTGGGGGGATTTTTGAAATTTTTTTAGGAATTTTAAATTTTTACCGGGGAAGTCGAGTAATATCAAAGTCAATCCTTTTTTAATTAAAATAAGTACTTTTTAATAAAATTTTATTGAAAAATCTAGAAAACTCTAAAAAAGTTTTAAAAATACATATTTTGGAATTTTTTTTTTAGGAATTTAAATTTTTTTCCGGGGAAGTGTAAAAATATTGTTCCCAATGCTTTTTAGTTGAAATAACTAATTTTTAAAAAAAATTGCGTGAAAGATTTAAAAGAATGTTTGAGGGGATTTTGAATTTTTTTTTTAGGAATTTAAAATTTTTGTTGGGGAAGTACAAAAATGTACTTTTTTTTTTAATGTTTACATTGGGGAATTTTTAAAATTTTCTAGGAATTTCAATTTTTTACCGTGGAAGTATTAAAATGTTTGATATAGTTTATTAAAGTTAGAAAAAAGTTAATTGTTGTTATTTAAATCTGATTTTTGGGATTTTGTACCCATGATGTTTGGCTTCTTAAGGGGTTAATATTATAGTATTTGCTGTGTATTGCATATTTTAGGGGATATTTTATAAAGTGCAATTCACTTAATTGAATTTATTTTTTAACTTGTGGCGAGAGCTTATTGGTTTAGTCTATTTTTAGCAATTTTAAACTTGTATGCAGTATACTTTAAGGCGGGTAGTAGGTATTTTTGGTTAAACAAAAAATAGGCAACATTTTGTGTAAAAACATAATAGTTTTAAAAGCATATTTATAGGAGTAACTAAAATTGGTGTTTAAAATTTGAAAGAAATTTACTTATTTTTGGAACTTACAAGTCTGTGACGTTTCCAAACGTATACTCTGACCATGCTTATCAAAGGCAGCTGTCTTATCCAGTTGTATGCCAGTACCGCGTACATGTTGATTTTTTGCTGCCGGTCCAGCAAATGTTGTTAAAATTTTACTATTTTTTGTAGCATCCTGTTGATGTTGTTGAGGCTGCTGCTGTTGTAGGTATGGCTGTTGTAGGGAATGTTGATGCTGTTGTTGTTGTTGCTGCTGTTGTAATTGTTGTTGTCTACGCTTATAGTTGTTTTCATCAATGACATTTTGGTAATTGGGTGCGGCTGCTTTGTAAACAACATCCGTTATATTACCAGCCGGACAATCGACCAAATCAAATTGTGACAATTTCATATCCTCAGCTATGGCCACAGCTGGTCGTTCTTTATTCCAGCGATAGATAACATCGGCAGTGGTATAACCAACTAACAAAAGTAGAATAAACAAATACAAAACATTTAAACACACAAATACACACACACATACATACATGCATACATAAAGTAAAAAAACGTTAAAGGGAAATATTGTTAAATAATAAACAAAAAACAAAAGCAGAAAAAAAACTCGGAAAAACTGGCAATAAATAGAATAAAAACTTTTAGCTTTAATGGTTTTTATAGATTGGAAACAAAATATTACAAAATTCATGCAGTAAGCAAAATTTTCAGAATTTTTTTTTCTCAATATTGTTTGTTTTGCATTGCGGTTTTATTTGGACGTCCCAAAGTAAGCAAAACACTTTTTTATTAAATAATAAACAAATTAACAGTGTTTTACAATGTACACAAAAAAACTTTATTTATAAAATTTTTGTTAAAAAAACAATTAGCTTAAGATTCTTAATTGTTTATTTAATCAATAATTAGAAAAAAATAAAAACTTTTTTTGGCAGATAACTATAAAATTTTGCTACAATTTTTGTGAGAAAGTAATAATTTATGATTTAATCCATACAAACTGCCTATTTTTGCTTTAAATTAACTAAAAAGATAAAATTTTTAAATTGGGGATTTTGAAAAATTTTTTGGGAATTTAAAATTTCGACCGGGGAGGTTGAAAACAAACAAAAAGTTGAGAAATATTATGTTAAATTTCTATAAAATAAAATTTTTTTAATAAAAATTACAAAAAACCTCAAAAATTTTCATTTGGGGATTTTGACATTTTTTTGGGAATTTAAAATTTTAACCACGGAAGTTGTACAACAAAAACAAATTGGAAAATTTTAGTAATTTTTTTTTAAATACGATTTTTAGATTTAAAATTATTAAAAAATTAAAATTTAAATTAAATGGGGATTTTAGAAAATTTCTTGGGAATTTCAAATTTTGGCCGGGGAAGTTCAAAAACAAAAGAAATTTGAGCAAAGTTTTGTGAGTTTTCTAAAAAAAAAACTACTTATTGACTAAAAATTGCCTAAAAAATCAAAATTTGTGTATTGGGGATTTTAGAAAATTTCTTAGGAATTTAAAATTTTGACTGGGGAAGTTGTAAAACAGGAAATAAATTGGAAAATTGTTTAATTTTCTTTAAAATATGACTTTTGTAGTTAAAATAACCTAAAAAAGCTAACTTTTTTACTTGGGGATTTTCGAAAATTTCTTGGGAATTTTAAATTTTATGCTGGGGAAGTCGAAAAACAAAATAAATTTGTAGAAAATTTTGCAAAATTTCTATAAAATAAAAATTTCTATAAAAAAATATTGAAGTAAAATTGCTTGAAAATTCAAAACTTAAATTAAATAAATAAATAACCTGGGGATTTTAAAAATTTTCTTGGGAATTTAAAATTTTAGACGAGGAAGTTGAAATACTAAAGAAATATGTACAACATTTTGCAAAATTTCTATAAAACACGATTTTTTTTGGCTTAAAATTGCCTAAAAATTTAAAATTTTTCAAATGGGGATTTTGAAAAATTGTTTGGGAATTGAAATTTTTGGCGGAGAAGTCTAAAAACAAAGGAAATTTGAGGGAAGAAATGAATAATTTTCCAAAAAATAGGATATTTAACTTAAAATTGTCTAAAAGTCAAATTTTTTAGACAGGGGATTTTAGAAATGTTTTTGGGAATTTAAAATTTTTGCCGGGGAGGTTCCAAAACAAAATTAATGTAAGGAAAATTTTGCAAATTTTATATAATAGGGTGTTTAGAGTTGAAATTATCTAAAAAGTAAAACATTTTCAATTGGGTATTTTGAAAAATTTCTTGGGAATTCAAAATATTGACCGAGAAAGTTGAAAAATTAATTAGTTTAAGTGAATTTCGATTGAAAATAAGGTTTATCCTTGATAAACTAACCAAAAAAGTGAAATATATAAAGTAGGGATTTTGAATTTATTTTTGGGAATTTGAATTTTTTTTGCCGGGAACACACAAAATAGTTTTTTTTTTAATGTTTTATAAGGATATTACAAATAAAATTGCTTTAAAATTTTCAAAAATTTAAAAGGGATTTTCGAAATTTTTTGTGGAATTCAAAATTTCTGCTGGGGATAGTCAAAAAAGGTTATCAAAATTTAAAACCAAAACATTTCAGCTGATTTTGATTAAGAAAGTTAAAGAAAATATCAAAATTATTTTAAAATTTTACTAAAATATTAAAAATATTTTTTTGGGGATTTTTAAAAAATTTTTGGGAATTATATATATTAGCAGGGGAAATTGGATAAAAGCTAACTATTGCCTAAAATATATGCAATAGTTTGTTTCCTATAAAAATGTACCCTAAAAGTAGTGTTTTAAAAAAAATTGCCCAAAACAAGGCAACATATTCTAGGAAACATAATTTTTTGTAGTATAATTTAAGGCAGAATGTTTTTGAAAGTAATTTTGAACAGTTAATACTTTTTACTTGCTTTAAATAGTTTACTTTTGAATGCTTTTAATTAGTCACCCTTTAAGTATGCAACACTTTTTACTTATACACTTGATAATGGCCTTTAAATTTTTGCTTTAATAAAAGAACATTTTGTGGCACTATTTTTTTCAAAGTCTAAGCATGTTATTTTTAAACTATTCTAATTTCTTTTATAGAGCACGTCTTAGTCATTAACAAAATCATTGCCTACTTTAAGGGGCTTTTCAGCAAATATAACAATTCATTGTCTTTCTAAACTAATCATGACCTATTTTTAGCCTTAACTAAATAAATGTTTAGAATTTTGGAAACAAAAACATAAAAAAGAAATATACCGACAGGCCAAACTACTTCAGAATGTATTATTTCATAATATAAACTCATTATCTATTGTTCTTTTTGGAAAGCATAGCACAGCTTTATTTTAAGAAAAAGAACAAAAAAAAAAAAAAATAACAAAAATCTTTAGCTGGAAATAAACCATGAAATCAAGCATGTATGCTTAAATAATTTTAAACATGTAAAACTAATATTCATTTTTTATATCACCCCAACATCCTCGTAATACAGGCAATCGTAAGTGAATGCTACGGTTCCCAACAAGGATACAAACACAAGGTTCACATAATCATATTCAAACCACCAGCAGCAGCATCAACACATTCAAACGTTAACGATTATATTTTCATATTTATAAGGACAACGTTTCTCAAATGCTTGTAGCGGCAGGGAAAAGGAAAGAAACTGCAAGATTAAGAGCCTGTTTAAGCTTTTGTTATCATCACTAGCTAGTTATAACTGTTGAATAACAAATAATTGTTTGGTTTTAAGATGAAAAACTTGTACATTCCATAAGCATTTTCTGTTTCATAAAGTCATTCAGCCATTTAGTCGTTTTTTATTATATTTAAGGCTTAAAATAAACTATTAGAGATTTGCCCTGATGCCGTGCTAAAAGAATCTTAAATATGTATATTAAAAGAAAATTAAAAAATTTATTTAAAAAGGTCAGTTTAAGTTAGTTTGTTATTCTTTAGGCCGCTTAAAAAATTTAAACACAAATTTCAGGAGGTTTATACATTTTGTATGAGGCTAAAAATTGTTGCATACTTTTATAGGCAGAGTGAACCAAACAATGACCAAAAGTTGTTTTAATAGGTAATAAAGAAAGTATTGCATACCTTAAGGGGAATTTGTTAAGAGGATTTAAACTAGTCTATATTTAAGGAAAATATGAAGTCAAATTTTAAGAAGGTTGCATACTTTTGGGCATTTTGAAAGTTAAACGAAGTTGCAAAACTTCGTAGTAAGTAGTTAGTTAGTGTTAGTTAGTTAGTTAGTTAGTTAGTTAGTTAGTTAGTTAGTTAGTTAGTTAGTTAGTTAGTTAGTTAGTTAGTTAGTTAGTTAGTTAGTTAGTTAGTTAGTTAGTTAGTAGTTAGTTAGTTAGTAGTTAGTTAGTTAGTTAGTTAGTTAGTTAGTTAGTTAGTTAGTTAGTTAGTCGTTAGTTAGTTAGTTAGTTAGTTAGTTAGTTAGTTAGTTAGTTTAGTTAGTTAGTTAGTTAGTTAGTTAGTTAGTAGTTAGTTAGTTAGTTAGTTAGTTAGTTAGTTAGTTAGTAGTTAGTTAGTTAGTTAGTTAGTTAGTTAGTAGTTAGTTAGTTAGTTAGTTGTTAGTTAGTTAGTAGTTAGTTAGTTAGTTAGTTAGTTAGTTAGTTAGTTAGTTAGTAGTTAGTTAGGTAGTTAGTTAGTTAGTTAGTTAGTTAGTTAGTAGTAGTTAGTTAGTTAGTTAGTTAGTAGTTAGTTAGTTAGTTAGTAGTTAGTTAGTTAGTTAGTTAGTTAGTTAGTTAGTTAGTTAGTAGTTAGTGGAGTTAGTTAGTTAGTTAGTTAGTTAGTAGTTAGTTAGTTAGTTAGTTAGTTAGTTAGTTAGTTAGTTAGTCAAATAATGCTTCCTTTGTTAAAGTACTTTTTTGGTACTTTATTTAAAAATAGTTTTAATAAAAATTTATTTTTAAATAGTGGTTTTTCTTTCTATTTAGCCATTACAAGGATAATGTGGAAAAAAGTACTTTTTTAAGAGAGTACTATTTTGGTACTTTTCTAAAAATATAAAAAAAATACGAAATATGTAAAATTTCTTTATAATAGTTTAGAGCTATTCAAAAACATAATATGGAAAAAGTACTTTTTTAAAATAGTACTTTTTTGGTTTTTTTGCAAACGTTTTTTTTCTTCAAGTATCTTAAAAATGTTATTACTGTTTAGTTTTCAATAGATTTATGTTAAAATGAAGATTTTACAAAAAGTACTTTTTGTACAATTTTTCTGAAAAGTACCTAAGTTTTTTGGTATTTTAAATTTATGAAATCTTTTCATGTAAAAAGTACTTATTTCCCAACTCATATATCATTTTGATGCATTTTTTGTTTCAATATTTTTTCTTGTCTTCTACCTTAATGAGTTTCATTTAAAAATTGTACACACACACAACAATATTTGTTCACTACAACAAAATTCTCTTAGGTATTGTCATTTAATAACAAATAAAGGGGGAGGGTAGAGAATAATATTAAAAAACCGATTTGTACATCATAAATGTTATTGACTCATATTGACATAAATATTTAAAAAAATTTATCAAACACACAGAATTCTTTTTCACACACACACACACAACATTATACTATTAACATTTATTGTCATACTTTTTTATAGACATGTTGACTACACAACTATAATAAATGTACAAAAAGGAAAAAGGGGAGAAAACTCATTGCTCAATACTACAAAAATGAATCTAGCAAATGTACAAAAAAAAAAAATTGTGCAATTGTGTGCGAGTGTGTGTATGTTGGCTTTATTGCGTGTATTATTGGCAATTTCCGTTAACAATGATTGGTACTAAGAGGAAGGGCAGGAAGTCTTGAGAGACTAGCTTATAGTGGGTGGTTTTGGTTACTTTTATGTTGGTTTATCAGTGTGTGTGTGTCTGTTTATTTTGGTTTTTAACTTGGTGTTCAGTCATTTTAATGATTTTTGATGTCTTGATTGTTAAACATCAAATATTACAACATTGAACAGTTATCCATATATATGTACATACATATGTACATCACACACTCACACTTGTATATGTAACTTTACACATGTGTCTACCATTTCTAAAAGGAAATGTTTACATTTTTTTTGGGAAAATTTTTGCAGGCAAAAATGAAAATATGTTTAAATTGCTTATATTTATGGTTATTTTAAAATTTACAACTTAATTTTGGAAATCATAGTAAAAATGTGGAAAACAAGAAATTTAATAAACTTACAGGAGCCAAATTTTAAAGGACATTTCTGTATGTCCATGGGAAAATCTTCCAAGTTCATGGGACAGCCAGCTTTAATGGTGAGCAAAAGAAAAGAAAAAGAAGAGGGAGAGAAGGGAAGACGGGGAACAAAAGGGAGGAGAGGGGAAGAAAAAAAGGAGGGGGCAGGAACGAAACGAACGAACGAACGAACGAAGAAGAACGAACGAACGAAACGAACGAACGAAGAACGAAACGAACAACGAACGAACGAACGAACGAACGAAACGAACGAACGAAGAACGAACGAACGAACGAACGAACGAACGAACGAACGAACGAAACGAACGAACGAACGAACGACGAACGAACGAACGAACGAAACGAAACGAACGAAGAACGAACGAACGAACGAACGAACGAACGAACGAACGAACGAACGAACGAAAGAACGAACGAACGAAACGAACGAACGAACGAACGAACGAACGAACGAAGAACGAAACGAACGAACGAACGAACGACGAACGAACGAACGAACGAACGAACGAGACTAACTAACTAACTAACTAACTAACTAACTACTAACTACTAACTAACTACTAACAACTAACTAACTAACTAACTAACTAACTAACTAACCTAACTAACTACTACTAACTAACTAACTAACTAACTAACTAATTTTTTTACTAACTAACTAACTAACTAACTAAACTAACTAAATAACTAACTAACTAACTAACTAACTAACTAACTAACGAACTAACTAACTAACTACTAACTAACTAACTAACTACTAACTAACTAACTAACTAACTAACTAACTACTAACTAACTAACTAACTAACTAACTAACTAACTAACTAACTAACTAACTAACTACTAACTAACTAACTAACTAACTAACTACTAACTAACGAACTAACTAACTAACTACTAACTAACTAACTAACTAACTAACTAACTAACTAACTAACTAACTAACTAACTAACTAACTAACTAACTAACTAACTAACTACTAACTAACTAACTAAACTACTAATAACTAACTAACTAACTAATAACTAACTAACTACTAACTAACTAACTAACTAACTAACTAACTAACTAAGGTACGTTGCAAGTTCAATAAAATGTGCTATATTTTAAAAATTTTGTACTTTTTCAAAAAGTACTAAAAAATTTATACTTTTTAACAAATTCTCATAACATATTGTTTTTCCTTAAAGAAAAGTTATTAAAAACCATATTTCGTTAAAAAAAAATGTTATAATTTCAATAGTTTTTAAAAAGTAGTATTTCTACTACTATTTTTAAACTCATAAAATATTATAGTTTTCTAAAGGTTTTATAAACTTTAAATATAATACGACAAAAATATTAAAAATTACACTACTTTTATAATTTTTTCCTCTAAAAGTCTCTTTGGTACTTTTTCAAAAAAAGTACTTTTTCAAAATTTGTTCAAAATCTAAATTTTTAATAAAATTATTGTATATTTTACTGCAATTGGGTTATTTTTAGAAAATTTTCCAAAAAGTACTTTTTTGCTACTTTTTCAAAAAAGTACTTTTTGATCAAAAATGCTTTAATTCATAAAAATATATTAAAATTTCATAAAATTCTTTATTTTATAGGTTTTAATTTCTCTTTTCTCTTGCTTTAAAACTCTAATTGTTTAAAAAAGTACTTTTTTCTTTTTCTTATTTGTGTTACACTTACCTACTTGAATACAACACCCTACCATTCTGATAGATTCTAACGAATTTATTTGGTGTTGTTATCGTATGCAAATAACTTTGTTTGCCATTGTAGAAATATGTATCTGGTTTCCAAATACGTGCCAACATTGAAACACTTAATGCCAATGTATCTTGGGCACCCTTGAAAGCCAAACGTTTATCCACCCATGATTGACGAAAATAACAATCCATCGAATAAGTCTAAATATAAAAAAGAAAAGGGGAAATTGGAGAAATGATTGAATAATTGTGAAATAATTTGCTTAATATTGAAAGAGTAAAATCTTACCATATCAACTTCCGAAATAGGTCCCATACTGCGCACCATTATATCTACCTCTACGGTAGCAGGTGGTCCTAAAATTAGAAAAAAATATAAGATTAATTAAACATTCATGTATCTTTTTTGAAAAAGAAAATCAATAAATCAAGTATCATGTTCAATGTTAATTTATAAAATTGTTTAAATGTTAATATCCTCTTCATGTGGTTCTTCATAAACTCATTAAAATTATGCTTTTCTATAAGTAACTAAAGAGATTTTAAATTGTATTTAGTATTTGTAGCATATTTTTAAGGGTTAAATAGAGAAAAAATAAGAAAAAGTGTATGATTTATTTTCATACAGGCAATACGTATGAGTTATTTTAAGTTCAAGGTTAGTAATAGGGAACAATTTTTACTTTTTAGAAAAAAGTAGTATTTCTACTACTATTTTCAAAATTAAAAAATAACAATTTTTTTTCAAACTATTGTTCACGTTCCACATAAATTCACTTTAATTTTTAGATTTTTATTACTTTTTATTAAAAAAGTAGTAGAAAATTTAGTACATTTTAAAAAATTTTCATAAAATATTGTTTTTTTTTTTTTCAAAGAATAATTAATAAACAATTATTTTCCGTACAAAAAAATATGACATTTCTAATTTTTTAAAAAAGTAGTATTTTATTTTTGAATTACTTTATAAACTTTTACTATAAATTTAACAAAAGAAATTAAATTAATGTAATTTTCGCTCATTTCACTACTTTTTATTAAAAAGTAGTAGAAAGTGTAGTACTTTCTAAGAAATTTTCATAAAATACTATTTTTTCTTAAAGACTAATTGATAAACAATTATATTCCGAATAAAAAAGTTAATATTTCTAATATTTTTAAAAATGTAGTATTTTTACTACTATTTTTAAAATTAAAATTTTTTATTATTTTAAGAATACTTTATAAAGTTTAACTATAAATGTACCAAAAGAAATAACATTATAATAATTTTTGTTTATTTTTACTACTTTTTAATAAAAAAAAGTAGTTGAAAATTTACTACGTTTTAAGAAATTTTCATAAAATATAATATTTTCTTAAAGACTAATTATATTCCTTCCAAAAATTTTAATATTTGTGACATTTTAAAAAAAGTAGTATATCTACTACTATTTTTAAAATGGCAAAATTTGATTATTTTTTAAACTTTAACTGTAAAGCAACCAAAAGAAATAAGATTAATGTAATATTGGTTACTTTTTAATACTTTTATTGAAAAAGTAGTAGAAAATTAACTACATTTTAACAAATTTTCAAAAATTATTATTTAATCTCAAAGACTAAGTAATTAACCATTATTTTCCGCAGAAAAAATTCGATATTTTGTTAAAATTTAAAAAAGTAGTATTTCTACTACTATTTTTAAAACGGTTAAATTGAAGTATTTTTTAAATTTTTTATAAACTTTTAGTATTAATTGAACAAAATAAATAAAATTAGAGTCTTTTTTGTGACTTTTTACTACTTTTTACTAAAAAAGTAGTAGAAAATTTACTACTATTTAACAAATTTTAATAAAATATTACTTTTTCTTAAAGACTAACTGAATAATAATTATATTCGGCTGTACTTTTTTTAATTTCCACCAAAAGTACTTTTTTGGTTCATTTCTGAAAAAAGTACTTTTTTCAAAATTAATTTTATACTTGATTTCAACAAAATTATTCATGTTTAAGTTCAATTATAATACTTTTGTTATTTTTTCAGAATAGTACCTTTTTTTAAAAAGTACTTTTTTGAAAAATTTGCCTAATTTTGATAAAAAAATATACCAAAATTTTACGAAATTTCAGATTTTCATGACTAACCTTGCTTTTTATACCCACCATTCATTATTCATTCTTTAACATTCTTTTGTTTGAAAAATCCCTTTAAAACATTAAATAATAACTACTTAAAGTAATTGTATTAACAGCTCTTCCAAAAAAAAGAAGACCAATTTCATAAATTGAATATAAAGCCAAAGTGGTGAAGGCATTAACTATTATCTATATCCGCCTTATATTCATTGCATTCCATTATTCCGCCCATCTCCGTCAAAAAAACAGAAAAACCCACAAATGAATCTTTGCTAAACACTTGATTACCAGTCATAGACCTACATTTCCTTTCAGCGTATAGATAAGAGAGTGGGAGCTTCAAACCTCCAACAGTTAAGTTAATAACAGCAAGTTAACATTTCCGTTTAGCGCTATTTTATTTATGTTTGTTTGTGTGTCTATATGTTTGTACAGGATATAGATTATATTAACATATTCATAAAGAGAACATACTGACACACATATTTCCACAAAGATATGTTTGCTAATGTATTAGTCAAGGCAAAATTTATACATTATACTTAAAGCTCAATACTTGTACTTGCAAGTTTATTGCAAAGTCATTAAAAAGTGTAAATTTTGCAAAAAACTGAAGCAAATCTCGATAATTTATAAACAATAATAACGGATTAAAAGTAAGAGTAATTAAAAAATCAGCTCAAAATAGTAGTAGCAAAATACTTTTTAGTAAAAATGGTTAAAAATAAATTATTTAACAAAATTAAACACAATACTAAAAATTTTGAACTTTTTAAAATAGTAGTAGAAAAGTACTCTTTGGAAACTGTACAAAAAATGTAGTTTTTAGTAATATAATTCATTTAAAAACATTTGTTTCAACTTCTAATGATATTTTTGGAAAAAATTATGATTTAAAAAAATAGTAGTAGAAAAATAGTAACACACTACTATTTTAAAATAACAACAAAATAACTATAACAAAATTCAAGTTTTTAACAAACAACAAACATTTAAAATGTATAAATACAAATTTCATGCATAAAATCAACTTTTACAAAATAGTAGTAGAAAAGTACTTTAGGGAAATGTGTAAAAACGAATATTATTGAGAAATTTAACATTTTAAAATATTGGCTGAATATTGTTATTAATTTTGAAACAAATTGGCATTAAAAATTAAAGTTTTTGAAATAGTAGTAGAAAAGTACTTTCTGTAAATGATGGAAAAAATTAAAAAAAAAAAAACATTTGAAACTTAGTTTTTAGCGTAAAACTACAAATTTCGCACAAAAAAAGAACTTTTATAAAATAGTAGTAGAAAAGTACTTTTTAAATGTATACAAATTCAAGTTTTTTGAGCAAATCTAAATTTGTATGTATTTTTCAAACTGCTACAAATAATTTCTAAAATTATTGAAAAATATTTAATATTTTTCAAAATAGTAGTAGAAAAGTAGTAAAAAAACTACTATTTGAAGAATGTCCCAAAAAGTGATTTTTGATAAGATAAAGAATTTGAGCATTTTTTTAAAATTGTAATGAAGTTATTTTAAAAATTTGTGTGTTTTAAAAATAGTAGTAAAAAAGCACAATTTGAAAAATGCACTAAATGATTATTTTTGATAAAATCAATCATATTAAAGTATTTTTGATCTATAAAATAGACTAGACTACTAGACTAGACTATAGACTAGACTATAGACTAGACTATAGACTAGACTATAGACTAGACTATAGACTAGACTATAGACTAGACTATAGACTAGACTATAGACTAGACTATAGACTAGACTATAGACTACACTATAGACTAGACTATAGACTAGACTATAGACTAGACTATAGACTAGACTATAGACTAGACTATAGACTAGACTATAGACTAGACTATAGACTAGACTATAGACTAGACTATAGACTTGACTATAGACTAGACTATAGACTAGTCTATAGACTAGACTATAGACTAGATTATAGACTAGACTATAGACTAGACTATAGACTAGACTATAGACTAGACTATAGACTAGACTAGACTATAGACAAGACTATAGACTAGACTATAGACTAGACTATAGACTAGACTATAGACTAGACTATAGACTAGACTATAGACTAGACTATAGACTAGACTATAGACTAGACTATAGACTAGACTATAGACTAGACTATAGTAGACATAGACTAGACTATAGACTAGACTATAGACTAGACTATAGACTAGACTATAGACTAGTACTATAGACTAGACTATAGACTAGACTATAGACTAGACTATGACTAGACTATAGACTAGACTATAGACTAGACTATAGACTATAACTATAGACCTAGACTATAGACTAGACTATAGACTAGACTATAGACTAGACTATAGACTAGACTATAGACTAGACATAGACTAACTATAGAATAGACTATAGACTAGACTATAGACTAGACTATAGACTAGACTATAGACTAGACTATAGACTAGACTATAGACTAGACTATAGACTAGACTATAGACTAGACTATAGACTGACTACTAGACTATAGACTAGACTATAGACTAGACTATAGACTAGACTATAGACTAGACTATAGACTAGACTATAGGACTAGACTATAGACTAGACTATAGACTAGACTATAGACTAGACTATAGACTAGACTATAGACTAGACCTATAGACTAGACTATAGACTAGACTATAGACTAGACTATAGCTAGACTATAGACTAGACTATAGACTACTATAGACTAGCCTATAGACTGACTATAGACTAACTATAGACTAGACTATAGACTAGACTATAGACTAGACTATAGACTAGACTATAGACTAGACTATAGACTAGACTATAGACTAGACTATAGACTAGACTATAGACTAGACTATAGACTAGACTTTAGACTAGACTATAGACTAGACTTTAGACTAGCCTTTAGATTATAGTACTAAAGTCCTGAATTTTCCATGCCTCTTATAATGAAATTTCTTTTGTACTTAATACGTATACTTAATATTTATTTATTTTGGTGAAAAATATGAATCATACACCTAGTATATTAAACAAATCTTATGTTAAGCTTTATTTGCTCACAAGGCGTATACTTGATATTTATTAATCTCTTAGTTGAAAATATTAAGTATACGCCTAGACTATGTTAAGTTTTATTTACTTTCAAACCTCTAGGTTTTTCTTGTAATTTTCTTAACATTAAATAAATATTTAACTAAATTGATTTGATTTGCTATTACAGCGGCATGTTACTGATTAAAGGCAACAAACAAACACCTTGCTTTACTTTAACCAAATATTTACTCTCTAAATAGCATTTAATACCAGCATTTAATTTAATTTCCCTTTTGAAAAGTTGATGCACACTCACCTCCAAAACCTGGTCGTATGCTGTTGTCATAACCACGTAAAAGATTATCCAATAACTCCGAAATGTTGGCATGATTGTTGCGTTGTGTTAAACGTATATGAGGAGCTGCTTCGGTAAATTTGGTGGCGCTATCAAAAAGACCTAACCACATCAAGGCATAGACAGCGAACAATGACAAACGTAGACAGTAGACAATTTTATTGAGATAAATATTAAAATAATGTTTTTGTTTTAAACTTGTCTTTAGCAGCAGGGTCATTGTTAGTAGTTTGGACTTCAAATTAAAAATTAGCCAATAGTTAAAGGACAGTGGTTTCATTAACATGTTTGTTTGAGTAGTTTCCTATTTAAGCTTTTGATGTTGTTGTTAGATGTTTTGGTAGTGTTAGTTGATGTTGTTTTATGGTCTAATTGTTTGTTTTTATAATGTTGCTGGCAGTTGTTGGTGCGTTACTGTTGGTTGGTTTTGTTGATATATGCATAAGTTGCCAGAGTTATATGTATGTAGAAAGAATGTTAGAAAATTTATTTTCTAGAGTTTGTTTTTATCAACAAATCTGTTGTTGACAAGTTGTTTTACATTTTTCTATTTAGTTAGTGTGCTGAAAAGCAAATCTTTACTGGTAGTTTAGTTACACTCATACAGAGACAGTTTGTTTTTATTTATTTCCGCCGGATGTCACTCTAAATGACCACATTCACAGAGACAGTCTTTGTTAAGGCTTTTATCTTTTAGATTGTGCATAAACATCTTAAGAAATTAAGTTTACTTTCAGCATTATATACATATTATTAAAAATCATTTGTTTAATTTATTCTTTATATGAGGGTTTGAAAATGAATTAAGTTTTATTAATAAAAGCACATAGAAAGCTGTCAAAAGAGGGCTCGAACAGACCAAACACACTTTAAAGTAATAAACAAATATTTAATAGCTTGAAATATGGCTTAAAATCGACTTTTTTAAAAAAGTAGTAGAAAAGTGGTTTTTGCTAAATTGTTTAAAACTATATTTTTCAGCAGAAATAATCACTTTAAAACATTATTATTGGAAATTTCCAACTTTTTTCAAAAACTTGTATTTTTTAAAAATAGTAGTAAATATTACTACTTTAAAATTTTACTAAAATTGCCATTTTTAACAAAAGAAAACCATTTGATAATTGTTTTAAACATTTTTAACAGAAATACCAAAGTTTTAAATAGTAGCAGAAAATTACTATTTGAAAACCCTTTAACAAACATTTGAACATGTTTTAAACAAAACTTCCAACTTTTCGAAATAGTAGTAGAGAAGTACTTTTGTGAAAAGTGTAGTTGAAGTTACATATTTTGACAAAAATCAATATTATAACTAACTAACTAACTAACTAACTAACTAACTAACTAACTAACTAACTAACTAACTAACTAACTAACTAACTAACTAACTAACTAACTAACTAACTAACTAACTAACTAACTAACTAACTAACTAACTAACTAACTAACTAACTAACTAACTAACTAACTAACTAACTAACTAACTAACTAACTAACTAACTACTAACTAACTAACTAACTAACTAACTAACTAACTAACTAACTAACTAACTAACTAACTAACTAACTAACTACTAACTAACTAACTAACTAACTAACTAACTAACTAACTAACTAACTAACTAACTAACTAACTAACTAACTAACTAACTAACTAACTAACTACTAACTAACTAACTAACTAACTAACTAACTAACTAACTAACTAACTAACTAACTAACTAACTAACTAACTAACTAACTAACTAACTAACTAACTAACTAACTAACTATCTAACTAACTAACTAACTAACTAACTAACTAACTAACTAACTAACTAACTAACTAACTAACTAACTAACTAACTAACTAACTAACTAACTAACTTTCTATCTATCTAACTAAATTTCTATCTATCTAACTAAATTTCTATCTATCTATCTATCTATCTATCTATCTATCTATCTATCTATCTATCTATCTATCTATCTATCTATCTATCTATCTATCTATCTATCTATCTATCTATCTATCTATCTATCTATCTATCTATCTATCTATCTATCTATCTATCTATCTATCTATCTATCTATCTATCTATCTATCTATCCATCTATCCATCTATCTATCTATCTATCTATCTATCTATCTATCTATCTATCTATCTATCTATCTATCTATCTATCTATCTATCTATCTATCTATCTATCTATCTATCTATCTATCTATCTATCTATCTATCTATCTATCTATCTATCTATCTATCTATCTATCTATCTATCTATCTATCTATCTATCTATTTTGTAGCTTTTTTCAAGTTAAATTTTGTCATTTATATTCTATTCTCTGCAGCCAGTAACTAAAATATCACTCTTACACTTAAGTCAGTGATATCACTGCTAAACATCTTGACTCTATCAAAGCTACACATAGACATACACTCAAATAAAATTTTTGTTAGATAATATTTTATTAAAAACGTGTAACACATACTCAATATTTCCGTTACATACATTTTTTTAAAAAATTTCTCTAAACATATAAAAATTGTAGTAAATAAGAATAATGTAGAAGAAGTTGAAGATGATGATGATGACAATGGATAGTGATGAGGAGTAGTGATAATAGGACAATAACAACAACTACCTACTACTACAACTGACTATTGGGTGATAAAAAAATGAAGAATAAATAGTAAAGTTTTAAAATACAACTTAAGCACGTTCTTACACTTTTTTACAACAAAAATATATTTTTATGTCATCGGTTTCTAAACATTTACTTGGTTTGTGCAGAGAAAAAAAAGAAAAGTAAAAGTATAAAACGCCGGAAAAATTTTTTAACAAATTGTGGTAGTTTTTCATTTTATTGCTGAAAAAAAGGAGACAATAAAAAATTGAGGTATTTTTCGTATTGTTAATACATGTTTAGAAAGGAAATTGTGGTGAAAAAAAATATAAGGGCGTGCTGAGGTTGAAAAGGGAAGAAGGATGTGTGGTAACAAATGTATTAGTAACTGTTTGAGTTGTATAAAGTGATAATGGTTTAAGTGGTTTTATATATGAGAAATGTTGTTCAGAAATTTATTGTTCAGGTAACTAAGTAAATATGCCTAAAAGAGGTTTCGATTAGGAAAAATATGAATTGTTAACAAAGTTTTGCTTAATAGCATTTATATTGCAAAAAATAACATAAAATTTTAAAGTTTAAAATAGTAGTAAAAAGTACTTTTTTAAAATAGTAGTAAAAAGTACTTTTTTAAAAAATTGGTAAAAAGTAGTATTTTTACCATAAAATCATATTTTTTTGGAAAAAGTACTAAATCTACTACTTTTATGCTAAATTTATTAAAAAACAATTAGAAACCCTACTTTACCGAAAGTGAAATTTTATAATTTTCATTATTTGAAGGCGAATGTCGCAGTAAGTAGTTCAGTTTGTTTTGTTGTTGTTATTGTCCTCCTTTTTGCCATTTCTTTACAATCATTATTCTTTGTTAATTGTTGCCTTTAAAACGCTATAGAAATTAACTGTCCTCGTAATTATTTAACCTGCGTTAATTTCTAGACATTTTATTTAATTATTTTTTGTTAATTTTGTTAAATATTTGTTGCTGCTTCTTTCAGTTCTTACTTGTTGGATAGTATTTTGTAATAATAATTTAAACCTATTTTCAATTTGTAATAAATCCCTTAAGTAATTTTGATAATAGTAGTGGTTTTGCTCTAGTTTTTGGTGGGAAAATAAGAAACAGTGGGGGACAAAAACAGAACTAGAACAGAATTAGAACTGAACTAAAACAGAACAGAACTAGAACAGAACTAGAACTGAACAAGAACAGAACTAGAACAAAACTAGAACGGAACTAGAACAGAACTAGAACAGAACTAGAACAGAACTAGAACAGAACTAAAACAGATCTAGAACAGATCTAGAACAGATCTAGAACAGAACTAGAACAGAACTAGAACAGAACTAGAACAGAACTAGAACAGAACTAGAACAGAACTAGAACAGAACTAGAACAGAACTAGAACAGAACTAGAACAGAACTAGAACAGAACTAGAACAGAACTAGAACAGAACTAGAACAGAACTAGAACACTAGAACAGAACTAGAACAGAACTAGAACAGAACTAGAACAGAACTAGAACAGAACTAGAACAACTAGAACAGAACTAGAACAGAACTAGAACAGAACTAGAACAGAACTAGAACAGAACTAGAACAGAACTAGAACAGAACTAGAACAGAACTAGAACAGAACTAGAACAGAACTAGAACAGAACTAGAACAGAACTAGAACAGACTAGAACAGAACTAGAACAGAACTAGAACAGAACTAGAACAGAACTAGAACAGAACTAGAACAGAACTAGAACAGAACTAGAACAGAACTAGAACAGAACTAGAACAGAACTAGAACAGAACTAGAACACATCTAGAACAGAACTAGAACTGAACTAGAACTGAACTAGAACTGAACTAGAACTGAACTAGAACTGAACTAGAACTGAACTAGAACTGAACTAGAACTGAACTAGAACAGAACTAGAACAGAACTAGAACAGAACTAGAACAGAACTAGAACAGAACTAGAACAGAACTGAACTAGAACAGAACTGGAACGGAACTGGAACGGAACTAGAACAGAACTAGAACAGAACTAGAACAGAACTAGAACAGAACTAGAACAGAACTAGAACAGAACTAGAACAGATCTAGAACAGATCTAGAACAGATCTAGAACAGAACTAGAACAGAACTAGAACAGAACTAGAACAGAACTAGAACAGAACTAGAACAGACTAGAACAGAACTAGAACAGAACTAGAACAGAACTAGAACAGAACTAGAACAGAACTAGAACAGAACTAGAACAGAACTAGAACAGAACTAGAACAGAACTAGAACAGAACTAGAACAGAACTAGAACAGAACTAGAACAGAACTAGAACAGAACTAGAACAGAACTAGAACAGAACTAGAACAGACTAGAAACAGAACTAGAACAGAACTAGAACAGAACTAGAACAGAACTAGAACAGAACTAGAACAGAACTAGAACAGACTAGAACAGACTAGAACAGAACTAGAACAGAACTAGAACAGAACTAGAACAGAACTAGAACAGAACTAGAACTAACGATCTAGAACTGAACTAGAACTAGAACAGAACTGGAACGGAACTGGAACGGAACTAGAACAGAACTAGAACAGAACTAGAACAGAACTAGAACAGAACTAGAACTAGAACAGAACTGGAACGGAACTGGAACGGAACTAGAACAGAACTAGAACAGAACTAGAACAGAACTAGAACAGAACTAGAACAGAACTAGAACAGAACTAGAACATAACTAGAGCAGAACTAGAACAGAACTAGAACAGAACTAGAACAGAACTAGAACAGAACTAGAACAGAACTAGAACAGATCTAGAACAGAACTAGAACAGAACTAGAACTGAACTAGAACTGAACTAGAACTGAACTAAAACTGAACTAGAACTGAACTAGAACTGAACTGGAACTGAACTAGAACTGAACTAGAACTGAACCAGAACTGAACTAGAACTGAACTAGAACTTGACTAGAACTGACTCCAGTTAACTTTTATTAAAATTTTCCCTTCAATTTTGCCCTCTACTGTTTTTTATGATTCAATTTCAAATACAAT